CTCTCCTTCAAAATAAAAGCATGTCCACAAATAGGAAGCCAAGCCAAATTACACTTAAGACATATACAACTGCAACGAAAGTAACAAACACAATGCGATATCCTTTTCAATTTCAAAGAACTCAAATTGGGTTACATTAACAAATAACTATAAAACAACAATACTGTTGAATAACACAAATAAGTGGTTCGCTGCTGATTACTATTGAATTGTGTTACTCCAGTAAGATGGAAATATAATACTTTGTTTATTCATGTTATGTTAAGCTGCTGTTGTTCATTGCATTATTACTAGACTAGTTAGTCTTAAGGCTAGAATTCTTCACCAAGCCACATTTTTATTTTATTTTATTATTTGTGACTGAATGTGAACTTGTGAAGCTAGTCAAACTACCTCTTTCCAGTAGAGTTATTTTTGTTTTGTTACTGCACTATCTCCACTCAATTAGTTTACATGGTTATTTTGTGGTGGACCACTGATAAGCTTTATTTTTGTTTTGATCCAATGCTGCACAACTGAACTGATCCAATGCTGCTGTGAAAAAAAGAAGCTATATCCATGTTGGATAGAATGGATAGTTGGGTACTGTCATTTAAATAAAAAAATAACCTTAAGGGACAACTTGAATGCTTTTTTTCCTCTTTTTTTTCTCTTAATGCATTGCATAAAGATCGGATCGGGAAAAATCGGTATCGGCAGATTGTCAAAATCAAATGATCGGAATCGGATCGGGAGCAAAAAAAGGTGATCGGGACATCCCTAATCGATTGCGTAGCGTCTTTGCATCGGTAAAAAACCGATTCATTCATATAAAATCCCCTCATCTTGTCAACGCTCAGCGCTCAGATCTTTGATATTTGCTTCGCCACTACGGAGGCCGAGAGTCAGTTATCAACACACACGGAAGTTGAGGAGAAAGAGAAACACAGCGCACCGAAAAATACCTACAAATCAAACGTTTGCCAACACTTCGGATTGTTCAAGAAAGACGGTGTAATAGTCCTTTATGCTAGGCTATATAGTTGACCGCAGGTCATGGAGAGTAATAAGGTATCCGTAGACCTTTGTATGAGGTATCTTTATTACTTAAGGCGAGACACCCCAGGTGAATAGGGTAATTTTTTTAACTTAAAGGTATCAGCTAGACATTTCTCCAGTTAATTACTTACAATAAGGCAATTGTCTTTTGTATTACAAGTTTTCTGAAATAGCATGTTTAAATATGCAAATTATCCATTATCTCATTAAATATGCACATATTTTAACACATTTCAGGAATCGAAATCTGAACTTTGGATATAGCCAGATTCAAAATTCTTGTTTCATTTTGTAGTCATATTAGTATCTAAGGCTTTTACAGAAGGGATATTGGATATCTCTTTTTATCATTCCATAAATCAGAAAATACTGTCAACAGCCCTAAAATATCCATTTTCGCCATGTTTTTAGGTATACAATGTTGTATAATTCAGGCTATGAATTATATATGAACAAACCCTTCAGTAAAAGCCTTCATAATATTGATAGGAATATAACTGGAAGGTTTGGTGTCTCTACGTGCTACTGAAGTTGAAATTTCGAACTCAGAGTAGGAGAAAAAACTCATTTTGAGAAAACGACCTTTAAAGATTGCAGTGAGGCGCTAGCTAAACCCTCCTGTTCTTTGAATGACAGCTTGCGCATCGACGCACTCCGTGAAGGTATTTTATGTTCAGGGTCATTTTGTTTTATATAACCTTGCTTCGTGCAAGTGACAATTGTTGTCGTCTTCTCTGTGAACGTTTTTTTCGCCGTTCTTTTGGCATTTTGAGATTTCAATTTCTAGCTGAAAGCTAACCAGGAAGTGTTTTAGCACACCACGTGACGCATCTGAACGAATCACGTTGTCAGAAATTGACACCAGCCAATGAGATTTCGTTTCTTGGTTTAAGACCCCTTTGTGCTTTCACGATTGGTTGCTGATACAAAGGAAATGACCATATTTGGATCTGATGAGATTGTGCAGGAGAGACACAGCTTTCCAGCGATACCTCTGTTGACATGGTGCACACAGCGGTCGCGGTACTTTATGTTACGTTAGAATGCTAACTTTTGGTGAATTTAGGAGAAATCTACAGACGCAAATAGACAAACTATAGTAAAATAAACACTTAAATGTGTATTTTGTACGTTTTCCTTCCAAAAGCCTGAAAGAAAACATGTTATGGAATCAAAATAGCACAAAATCTCAAAATTGACCAGTACTTGAAAAACGATGTTTTTGCCTGCCGTGTCTCGCCTTAACAGGTCTACAGCCATGATACATAGATCCGTCCTAGATGCGGGCTTGCATACACACAGTATCACTCCGCAGCCGCACCCCATCAGTAACGTCCTGATGGTATGTGCGCGGCACTATATACTAGAGATGGTCAACTTGAAAAATCGCTCGCAAATTGTTAACGATGCCGAGCCGCTTTAAAGTACACAAGTAGTACGAGGAACGCACATAAAGAGGCGACATGGGGTCTGCGGCTGAAAAGAGAAACCTGAAAGTTAGACATATGAGTTAAATCACTCAGTGAGGTGTTCTGTCAGAGAGAGTGGTGTTTAGTTTACAGCAGCCTGTGACGGCCAATAATAATTTAAATGTCTTCCTTACTGTAAGCAGTTATGAAATACCTGTTTGTGAAAGGTTATTTGTATTCTTTATTGTTCATATATAAACCACTGCTTTCTGCTCACTGGTGAGTTAGCCTATGAATGAGTGTTAAGCACATCAGGCTGGCAGCTGTATGGGCATTGCACTATGGTAGCTGTTATTTGCATATTGTTAATCATGAACAATGCATCCTTACATTGTTTTGAGGTGTTATACAATTGTACTCTGGAGAGCTTTTAAAGGTAAAAAAATAAACGGCATGATGGGATGTGCAGTACCAAATATGTAAAGCACTTTTTTGTTAATGTATGATTTGCTGCTGCGGAATAAAACAAAAATCCTCTGTCGTACCATATTGAAGTATCATTATTTTTGCATCGTGTTGAATCGCATCGTACCGAATCGCATAATGTTGAATCAAATCGTATCGAACTGTATCGCAACAGGGGTGAATCGTATCGTATCGCATCGCCTGGTGTTTCAAATGTATCGTTAATGTATCGTATCGTGGCAACGTATCGAGATGCGCATCGCATCGGCCTCAGTGATGGAGATGCACATCCCTATAACATACAGCAGTGTCAAAGTTTAGGACATTGAACCTAATTGGCAATGGTTTTTCTGATCGCTCAAAATTAACCAACCAGAATAATAGACAACTGTTGTAATTTGTAAATACCATACTAACATCTATCTAAATAAGGGTGGTGTTGTTTTAAAATATTTCATAAAACAATATTCATCCATCCTTTGGACCCTTTAAACCACAAACGAGGCTCCCTCCATTGCCCATTGAAGGATTATTAATGGAAAGCCCAAAACACACTCCAGTAGGTTTAGGGTAAATGGTTACCGTCTTCAAAGGAGAGCGCAGAACTTCCGGTTTTGTACTGTTACAATTTGAGCCAGTCAATGAATAGTTCAAGGGATTAGTTTGTCGAAATCGTTGTAATGATTGAAAAACATTTAATAAACTACCTTTTATAATAGTTTGTAAAAGCTGCACACGCCCTGCTTTTTTGTCTGTTATTTGGGGAATTGTTGAAGTGAAAACAAGCCGATGGTTAAAGCTATTAAAAAGGTAGAAATTGTCAAACATAATTAATACTTCAAAAGGTGAAATTCCATTTAGTAACAATTTAATGTTGCCATTTAGCTACACGTCCGAAAAGCCTTCAACTGTAGGGCAGACTTAAGCAGAGGTGGGAATTAACTAAGTACATGTACTCAAGTACTGTACTTAAGTACTGTTTTGTCATACTTGTACTTAGACCCCGTTTACACGGGAACGCAAACGCATACGAAACGCAAACGAACTGAATACGATATCAAAAAGGTCTTCCGTTCACACGAGACCGCTCGAAAGCGCTGGAGACGCTGTAGTACATATGTCGGGCCTGTAAGTGGCGCTGTACTTCTGCCAGAAAATACACTAAAAGCAGCAAAGAAGACCCCCGAGCATGGTTGCCATGGTTGCCCTTCTGTTTATGCCCCGAGGTGGATTTAGCAAAATGTAGTTCATGTAGTTCTCCATGTCCACTTGTTGCTGATGGTTGTGGTAGAGGAGCTGTAGATGTTGCACTAACATCTGTAGCAAGGTCAGTAGCAGTAGCAGTAGCTACTGACAGTTGCTACTGACCATGCTACAGCAGTGAGCAGCAGAGGTGGGGAGAAGTGGGGCTGTGGCTTCATCGCTATCAGGAAATTATCGTATAGGACGTGCACACGGAGCCGTTTGGCACCCCAGAGCGTTCCGTTTGCAGATCTATCCACCTTGGGACCCGTTATCGTTTGCGGGGTCCGTTTCCGCGTTTCCGTTACGGCCTCGGAGCGGATACAACCGTTTGCGTTCTCGTGTAAACAGCACCTTAACTTGAGTATTTCCAATGTATGCTCCACTACATTTTGGAAGAATTTATTGTACTTTTTACTCCACAACATTTATTTAACAGTCATAGTTACCAGCTACTTTTGACGTATAAAAACATATGACATTTCAATAGGACATAATGCAGGCCTGTAGGCTACTACCAAATACCAATATATATATTTTTTAAAAATGCTCTTAATATTAAAAAACTGCAACACTTAGAGGCTCTTACATGTATTTCTAAGCAATTAAAAGCATGAATATTTACTTTTACTAAATGAAGTACATTTAGCTGACAATAATCTGTACTTCTACCAAAGTAACATTATGAATCCTGGACTTTCAAACCAAAGTATTTGTACTTTTACTTAAGTGAAGGTTCTTAGTTCTTCTTCCACCTCTGAATTTAAGTCATTAGCATGGATTATGAAGCACATGTTAGCCATGAAGAAACATTTCAAGATATAAATCACAGCACAAAAAACTCACCGGTAACATTCCTGCTGTTAGTCCTCCTGTCCCGTTAGAAAAAGAACACTCTCCTCCTGGTTTCCCGCCTCCTATCCTCCTCTCTTCTTATTGTGAACTTTTTCTGTCTTCTTCTTTGGTATTCCATACATCCAAATCTGTCTTCTTCCTCTCTTTTCTCCAGACAAATATCCAGATGCTCAGAAAACTAACGCTCGAGCTCCTTTCCTCTTCCAATCCCTCCCTCTTCCTTCCTCTCTTTCTTTCTCACACACACACACACACACACACACACACACACACACACACACAGACTGAGTTAGTTAGTTAGTTTAACTCAAGGACAGGAAGTCAAACTGTGTGTGAGAAAGCTGGAAACACCAGTAGTAGTTTCATCATCAGAATGGCAGTGGTTTCTCCGGACGGTGCTCAGCAGGCGGTGCTCCGGTGTTGGTGTGTGGGGTGAACTGGGTCACCGTCCCGATCAGCCCTCCCATCTGCCCCCCGCTCACCTCCTCCTCCTCCACCTCAACCTCGCGATATATAGCCTCCAGGTTCAATTAAACATGTAGCAAATAGTTGGTGGAATAATCACAATAATTTCAATCAATACTATTTTCCAAATGTTTGTATTAATGTTATTTTTGAGTGACAGCGCCCTCTCTCGGCAGTGTGTGCAACAACAATGCTTTTTCACAATGATTGTGTTTGAAGGTTTTATTGTCATATGCACAATAGCCACAATGTAGTTGTTGGCCATACAAATCATAAAACATATATCTTAGGATATAAAAAAAGACATAAGGAAGTAAATGAGTACAATAAAAATGAGTGCAAGTAATACAATGGGGAAATTAAAATTCAAAAATAAGTAAACTATTAGCAAATGATGCATACAATTAGGTTATAGATTAAACTGAATGTTAAATGTAATACTGTACAGTAGAATAAATACTGTATACCAGACTGCAAACATGATAAGTTCCTGGTAAAGGTCCTCTATTCAAAATCTTTAGTACAAACATTGTCATAAGAATACACCTTAGAAAAGTTCTTATTGTGTGTAAAAGCTAAATTCCAAATCATATATATACCTGGATTAAAATAATCACTTTATTTACAATTGCTTGTTATATTTACCTATAATTATTATTTCTTATTATTTATATTTATAAATTGATTTATATTTTGGATTAGCGATTATTCAGAATTTTTTAAGTAACTTAAGCTGTCCGAATGTTGTGGAATAGAAGTATAAAGTACCATAAAATGTTATTACTCAGTTCAAAATGTAAAAAAGTACACTAATATACACTATTACTATGCCTTTCAGCCAAGACTCTAGCTTTACATTGCTCCATTTGAAAAATAAAAAAGTTTATAAAAGATGGCATGTTTTGACTCATCAGGACAGGCACACATGCGCACGCACACACACACACACACACACACAGTGGGGTGTATTTTACAGAGAGCTTAGAGATGTTCAGCTGTCATAAATTCAGCAGATTATCACAGAGCTGTCCTCTGCTGCCAAGGATGCTGTGTGTGTGTGTGTGTGTGTGTGTGTGTGTGTGTGTGTGTGTGTGTGTGTGTGTGTGTGTGTGTGTGTGTGTGTGTGTGTGTGTGTGTGTGTGTGTGTGTGTGTGTGTGTGTGTGTGTGTGTGTGTGTGTGTGTGTGTGTGTGTGTGTGTGTGTGTGTGTGTGTGTGTGTGTGTGTGTGTGTTCTGAATGATAAAGTGACTTGTACAAACCATAATAATATAGAACATTAGGTTACAGTTTAGTACTAACTTTGCTAACTTTTGTTAAATATCCCTTCACTGTTGTTGAAATGTGTTCAACCTTGAGAACAGAAATGGGTTCACGACATCCCTAAGAAATATTGAAAGGATGGATAAAGTGTTCTTTTCACATTTGAACCAAAGTGCAAATTGCAGTTTATGCAAATTGCTCAATGATAAAGTCCAGAGAAGAGAAAAACACTCTGGAAACATGGAGGTGTCTGAACTTGACATCTACAAGAAGTGTCAGTGCTCAGGAGGAGAGGGAATATTATTTTATTTCTTCAAATAAATAATAAGGTACTCAAACGAAGAGTTGCTGTACATGAAGTGGTGTATTTTATCTATCATGTATATATCTATCTAATTGAACGAAAATGATGTTTTGGCTTATGTTGGCCACTTTATAATTATGCTACTTTTTTATTTTTACCTTTGGCGTGCATGTGATTTCTATTTTATAAACATGTGCTTGACTTTTTATGTAATATGTTACTCTACTATTTAGATTTCTCCTTGTATCTGCACTGTCAATGTAAATGTACCTGCTGTGGGACAGTTAAAGGATTTCTGTTGATGTGTGGCTAGTAACTGTTCCCCATTTGCACATACAGTCAATTAAGGCTTTATACAAATGCAATGACTCTAAAAACCCTCTTGTTTAATTAAAAAAAGTATTTTTCCAGAAACCGTTCTTTCTTGTGTTATTGTCTTTATCAGTCTTATAATCTATTTACTTTTTATTTTCTTTATCTCTGTACAGGATTCTAATTGGGACTGAAGATTCGGCTCCACACATAAAACCAAATTTAAACAAATCATATTACATTTTCTTTAAGTAATGACAAAATAATGCTATATCTTCTCAGTTCGCTGCCCTAATGTCTGGACAACCAGCTCCAGGATGTAGTGTGAAATCACTCAGCTGTCTCTTTGTGTGGAACATGAAAGAGGGCTGTAATGAAAAGCTACATCGTGGCTACATCTCGAGTCTCACACACTGAGTTGTGTTTATTGTTTTCACTCACTGTGGAGCTTTTGTTGCAGGTTCATGTGTGTGCGTGATGTGGGGTCAGTCAATAAAACCAATCAACCTTGAATGGTGACGCTGATGTTCACACAGCATCACTAGAGCCAGAGGCCATCTCTCACTGTCACACACACACACACACACACACACACACACACACACACACACACACACACACACACACACACACACACACACACACACACACACACACATCAAAGCACTGAGGTCAGTCCAGGCTCTGCATCACGTTGGGCGGCTGCCATCATACAGCTCTTTACTCATAAAAACCACTGTGACCTAATAAATGTTAAAAGCAGCCAAGCAGTTTGTTCTATCATATTAACAAGTGATGTCACTGTTGTCCCTTCTGATCAGATATATGTAAATGTATTTGTTCTTTTTTATTCAATCCTTTGTTTATTGACTTTAGTTGGTACTAAGTGTTTTTATTAATCACATGTTATGTGTTGCGGTTCCGTGTGAAAATGGGCAAGAAGATAAAATGTAGATGTATTCTTATTTTGTTTTTTTAAAGGAGCCCTATTATGCTCAAATTCAGGTGTATATCAGTATGTGGTGTCTCTACTTTAAAGAGTCCTCTCCTGCTGATGTTCAGGTGTATATCAGTATGTAGTGTCTACTTTAAAGAGTCTTCTCCTGCTGATGTTCAGGTGTATATCAGTATGTAGTGTCTACTTTAAAGAGTCCTCTCCTGCTGATGTTCAGGTGTATATCAGTATGTAGTGTCTCTACTTTAAAGAGTCCTCTCCTGCTGATGTTCAGGTGTATATCAGTATGTAGTGTCTCTACTTTAAAGAGTCCTCTCCTGCTGATGTTCAGGTGTATATCAGTATGTAGTGTCTCTACTTTAAAGAGTCCTCTCCTGCTGATGTTCAGGTGTATATCAGTATGTAGTGTCTACTTTAAAGAGTCATCTCCTGCTGATGTTCAGGTGTATATCAGTATGTATTGTCTCTACTTTAAAGAGTCCTCTCCTGCTGATGTTCAGGTGTATATCAGTATGTAGCGTCTCTACTTTAAAGAGTCCTCTCCTGCTGATGTTCAGGTGTATATCAGTATGTAGTGTCTCTACTTTAAAGAGTCCTCTCCTGCTGGTGTTCAGGTGTATATCAGTATGTAGTGTCTCTATTTTAAAGAGTCCTCTCCTGCTGGTGTTCAGGTGTATATCAGTATGTAGTGTCTCTACTTTAAAGAGTCCTCTCCTGCTGATGTTCAGGTGTATATCAGTATGTATTGTCTCTACTTTAAAGAGTCCTCTCCTGCTGATGTTCAGGTGTATATCAGTATGTAGTGTCTCTACTTTAAAGAGTCCTCTCCTGCTGATGTTCAGGTGTATATCAGTATGTAGTGTCTCTACTTTAAAGAGTCCTCTCCTGCTGATGTTCAGGTGTATATCAGTATGTGGTGTCTCTACTTTAAAGAGTCCTCTCCTGCTGATGTTCAGGTGTAAATCAGTATGTAGTGTCTCTACTTTAAAGTGTCCTCTCCTGCTGATGTTCAGGTGTATATCAGTATGTAGTGTCTCTACTTTAAAGAGTCCTCTCCTGCTGATGTTCAGGTGTATATCAGTATGTGGTGTCTCTACTTTAAAGAGTCCTCTCCTGCTGATGTTCAGGTGTAAATCAGTATGTAGTGTCTCTACTTTAAAGTGTCCTCTCCTGCTCATGTTCAGGTGTATATCAGTATGTAGTGTCTCTACTTCAAAGAGTCCTCTCCTGCTGATGTTCAGGTGTATATCAGTATGTAGTGTCTCTACTTCAAAGAGTCCTCTCCTGCTGATGTTCAGGTGTATATCAGTATGTAGTGTCTCTACTTCAAAGAGTCCTCTCCTGCTGGTGTTCAGGTGTATATCAGTATGTAGTGTCTCTACTTTAAAGAGTCCTCTCCTGCTGGTGTTCAGGTGTATATCAGTATGTAGTGTCTCTACTTTAAAGAGTCCTCTCCTGCTGATGTTCAGGTGTATATCAGTATGTATTGTCTCTACTTTAAAGAGTCCTCTCCTGCTGATGTTCAGGTGTATATCAGTATGTAGTGTCTCTACTTTAAAGAGTCCTCTCCTGCTGATGTTCAGGTGTATATCAGTATGTAGTGTCTCTACTTTAAAGAGTCCTCTCCTGCTGATGTTCAGGTGTATATCAGTATGTGGTGTCTCTACTTTAAAGAGTCCTCTCCTGCTGATGTTCAGGTGTATATCAGTATGTGGTGTCTCTACTTTAAAGAGTCCTCTCCTGCTGATGTTCAGGTGTATATCAGTATGTAGTGTCTCTACTTTAAAGAGTCCTCTCCTGCTGATGTTCAGGTGTATATCAGTATGTAGTGTCTCTACTTTAAAGAGTCCTCTCCTGCTGATGTTCAGGTGTATATCAGTATGTAGTGTCTCCACTGTGACATGTCTCCATGCTTTAATGATCAAAAAGCTCTTTATTGTTCTCACACTGCCTGTGCTGCAGCACCTCTTTTCACCCTCTGTCTGAAACCAGAGCCCAGTCTGCTCTGATTGGTTAACTGGCCGGCTCTGTTGTGATTGGTCAACCGTCTGATATGCCCCGCCCCTTAGCCTATTACGTAAAATGTTGTAGCACTAGCCAATAGAAGCCCCAGTGTTACATAGTGTTGTCACAATTTTACAATAGAAAACAAAGAAGTCCAATGAAGACCTTTCATGTAGGGGGGGAGTGTGTGGGAGAGAAACTCCCCTAAGTTCAATTAAGGAGTTATCTGAATTTAAGGTTTGTAAAAACTATATTGCAAAGCTAATTTATTTTTAATGTATTGCCACAAACCATAACAACATGGCACAACACAACATGAAGTTGGACAAAATTAGCTTGAAATAAGAGTGTTTTTGGTTCTTGTGTGTATCCAACTGGTGAACTAGTTATTTTAAATGTTACAGGATCCCATTATCTCTGTTTTATCTTTTAGTATTTAATTGAATATGAATTTTAAAAAAAGAAAAAAGAATTATGTATTTTTTGTGTGACCTGGTATTTTCATCTCATCATACGCCATTTATGCCTTTTTGTCTCTTCCCTGTCCAAAATAAAAAATAAAAACTTTAATTGTTTTAGGTTGTGTTGGTCTGTCTTTGAACTGAGGGGTTATTATTGTTGTATTTAATTATTTTTATTTGTGAAGCACTTTGTTTTGTGTGTAGGAAAAATACTACAAAAAATCTCCATTTTTTCTAAACTAACAACACAGGCAGACACATCTTACTTCAAAATAGTTTCTGCGACAAGCAACACTTACATTACTAAACACTTTATTTTCCAACAAGCTACTAGATGTTTTTCTAGCAGACAGACATTTCACAAAGAAACACTGTAAAATCAATCAATAAATAACAAGTACAAATAAGTAAAGGGTACAGAGAAAAAAGAAAACAAATCCTACAGAAAGATGATCACAAAGACCCAACAGCAGTTTACAGACACAGCAGCTGAGCAGACAGCTAAGAAGCTACAGAGCCGGGCGGCCATGTTGGCTCCACTGTCTTCTTCTATGGTGGTTGAAATAAGAATACAGAAAGTGATCAAGAGATTGTCCTATTAGTACTTTTAACTGGTGAACATTAAAACCCCGGGGCACCAAAATAACATATATTTGTTGTCTTAATTTTTTTAATGCCGGCTTATGTATTCAATAGAGTGGTGCAGGAATGAGTCAGCATTTTAGCTGCGGTTCCAATCGTCTCAAACCTTTGTTTTGGCCGTGTTTTGGGTTAGAGGCCGAAAATAATGTCTGCTGTTAACATGACTGAAGCTCATAAAGCGTCATAAAAACAACAGTTGCTAACAAAAAGTGGCTAAATGAGACTACTAAACGTCATCTCGCAGAACATTAGCCGCATTTAGCTTAGCGGTGAGTTTAAGTCATGTGACCGTGATGTAGTTTGGTCATAGCCCACCAAAAATCCTTAAAGGAGTCTTTATATGAGAAGATTATCCTGATGAACAAAACAGGTAAGTATTATAAACATGTTTGCCACAGAGTTTATTTCTGCAAAACTCCCAAATCCATTGGAAAAATCCCATTGCTTTTTGTTGAGGGAGCCGTTACTTGCTAACCTGCTAACTAAAATACGTCATCAATGCACCACTCTATGCAAGAACATGAGGATGTTGTATAAAGCGCAGTATCCATCAACACTAATTCTGGACTGTTATCACGTAGAAACCCTCAATATAATCTATGTTAGCGACTCATAGCACATCCCATGTCCTGCCACTCCATAACAGTTTGTCTCTAAACGTTGTGTATGTGCACTGAAAGAACAGCATACTTTAGCCAATCAATAAATAATGGTATATTGATTATTTTTAAATGTTTTTCACCCTGCACAGCTAATAGGACAATCTACCACAAGTGTTCATTGATGAATACATTCACCTACTGACCTTTTAAAATGTTCCTGCCTTTGTAATATTATAAAAGACAGTGTCAAACACTTACAACCAACATGTTTCTGTTCTAAAGAAGCACCTATGACTAACTATGTACTTTCCACAGTAGATAGGTACTTTGTGTTGTTGATTAATACAGCATATGTCATACTTATTCATATTCTGATCTTCTTTTAGCAAATGTATTTAATGTTATAGGCTTTCTAACTCTATGCTATCATCTGCTGCGGAGAATCGATTTGCTCAGTGAGTGAATATTGGAATACAAAAATCATTGATGGGCAATAAACCAGCGAGCACACACTGCCAGCTATTCATTCTTTATTTGTAGTGTTGGAGCTTAGAACAAATAGCAAGCTGCATATCATTTTAACATCACAAAAATGAAACATATTGACTACTGATACAGACATATCTATAACGTTTGATCCCAGGTTTCAATTCAAATAAAAGCAACTCTGTTTACAACAGAAACGTGAGTCAACTTTTGATTTATATTATTACTTTAACGTCCCGTAAGCTTGATTTCACAGTTTAAATAAGTTTTGCTTGACTGTGGAGTTGCTCTTTAATGAGCTAAATATGTGTATATTTGCTACATTTAAGGTGAGTTCACAGACCAAAAAGCAAAAATAAAAACATTTAACACCTTCTCTATAGAGGTCCATTTGTTACGTAAAAGACTTTCAGACATTTCTGGTGCTTTGAATTTGGGAAAAGTGCTTTTAATAGATTTCACAAGCCGAAATGAGTCTTTACCTAATCGAGGACAGAAACGTTACAAATGAATTTCGCTAAAATGACAACAGTGTGCAGGAATTCTCCTTTTCTCTTGTGCTACCCAAACAAATTACTTTTCCATTTAACATTAGGAGTCTCAAGTGAAGCAGCAGTGAAGACGAGTGGTTCGTAGATTCCTACTGTATGCAGCAGCTCTGTCCGTTGCCGTCTTTGGAGCGCAGACACAGTTTAGGTTTGTAGCTTTCCAGATACAGCAGCTGTTTGGAGTTGAAAGCCCCGCGACGCTTCCTGACATCAAAAATACATCAACTAGAGACATTAGATCTGAATGACAGCATGTGTGAGCAATTCCAGGGATGGTACATTTCAATTGAGGCCAGTAGAATCAGTGTTTTGTACTCACAGTCTGATGAAGTGCACGGCGTCTTCATATTCCATCCCACACTCGATTAGAGCCAGGGCCACCAACACAGGAGCTCTGAGCACAGACACAGGAAACATAACAGACGCTTTAGCTTTTAAGATGCTGTAAAGAAAAGATGCCGAACTAGAGGACAGATTCTTCTTTCGTCACAAGTTTATAAGAAGATGATATTGCAAAACTGAAAGATTTTGAAAAGCAAATACACTTCAAAAATTGAAAATGTTATTGAAATATTATGTACACACATAATAGGGTGCACAATATACAAAGCTCTGTAAATGGAGTGGAGCACAAAATCATCCAGCATCCAGAAGCGACGTCTTTGGAGGAATGTGTGTGTGTGTGTGTGTGTGTGTGTGTGTGTGTGTGTGTGTGTGTGTGTATGTGTGGGTATTGTGTTTTTTCCCCTTAACTTTAAGAAATGAAAATGATGTAAAATGTTGGGCTATATAAATACATCTGAATTGAATTGAACTGACAATAAATGCCTGATCTAAACAACAGTGCATATTTGGAAAAACTCACATGAAACAAAACTGACTGAAACTGGTAGACATACATTTTTATAATGCCTTAACACCTTAATATGGTACTAATGTCACTTTGCTGATTCTCATGCTTGTGTACTTATTTGTCTTTATTTGTATTTTATTACTAATGTCTATCTCTTTTCTATATTAATAAGTGAGAATACTCTCTATTATTGCATGCCTTTTTTGACCTGCTATGCCACTTTTGCTGTAACACAGTACATTTCCCCGCTTTGGGACTAATAAGGAGTTGTGATTCTGATTCATGAATTAATGGTGGCAGGATGTTAGTATGTCACAACGATAACATGTCACTTCCCGTATCCCGTTGTACTCACCGTCCCAGCCCGGCCACACAGTGCACAGCCACACAGCTGCCAGGCTCCTCCCTGAACTTTGTCTGAAGCAGGCTCAGCCAATCATCAACCAGCTGGTCCGGGGGGGCGGAACCATCGTCGAATGGCCAATCCTGGAGGGGGAACAAACTGATATTTAGTTTTGTTTGTTTATCCAATCAATGTTCCAAGAAACAGTGTTTTATTTCTACATTAAAATAAATGAAAGGAAAAATGTTACTATGGATACTGTACCTCTTGCTTGTTGGTGAGGATTATAGTGTAAGAGATTATTATGCAACGTAACGGTCTGTTACAATATGCCTATGAAAATATATTTTTTTAAGTAGGCTGAACCTAAAAATGGGAGTTGAGAAAATGTAAGTTAATGAGCTCTGAAGGACCAAAGGTTTTTGACCAGTCCCATTTGTACACGGCGCTGTGAGTGAATATTTACAAGCTCACTCTTGATCTCTTACATTTTTTGCAACATGTTTTCAAATGTCCACTTTCAGGAGGATTCTGTATTGAACACAGAGTGGAATCACTTCCTGATTCCAGAATGTTACAGCAGTGTTCACTAGTGATCGTTTTGATAACAAAAACTCTGACTAAAAACTTTTTCACTATATTTAAGATGGAAGAATGATGAGATGGCAACAGTAGAGCACAAACGGAGACTATATCAAAATGCAATATGGTTGGCGAAAGGAAACGGGACTAAAATGTTGAAATCAAAATCTTAACAAAAATCTCTATATTTTTTTCATTGACCAAAAATAGGAAATTAAATATTATAAACTAGACTTTTTTAATTTAGCCGTTTTGTTTCCTTTACAGTGCACACCCTATCAGGAAGACAGCAGCAGCACGATGAGCCGCCAGGAGCATTCAGTAACTTACTTAAGTTAAAGTTAAAAATGGCGACAACAGGACTTAGAGAGAAACAAACATGGCTAGATATTTTGGCTATAAAATATATATAATCTGTTTACTTAAACGATAACTATGGTTTAATAATTAAACTATAATAAAATTAATCTGATCCGTCACTCACCAGGACATGAATACCTTCTTGTTCCACCGGAGTCTTGTCATATGTAGCAGCACACACTCTCACCAGGGTGTTAACTCCATAATTCTTCAGATCCTGTAAATAAAAACACAAAGCATGTCATGGTTGCTTCGTCCTTAACTAAAATAAAATGAATAAAGGATATAGGTTCATTATAAAAATGTATGTTACCTCTATAAACCTTCCCAGTTGTGCGTTGGTGGGGTTGTGCGTTATCAGGAATCTCAGGCAGTCGTAAGAGATCTCCACGGGGGCAGGGCGGTTCATTTTTACACCCTCAAAAGGTTTATTAGTATAGAAAAATAGAACTGTGCTTCAAATAATGGAGACAGACAGGAGTGATTGGATGTTTAAAATTCAAAACTTTCAAAAAAGTGTTTTCACTAAAACATAAATTGCATTTGGTCAAAAAAACGCAAAACAAAAAAAATAAAACTTATGACTTATGGGCGAGGTAAATATGCTATGCCTTACGTCGTTATAAAAATCGGGAGGGGGGATTCAACAATTCTTGGCAAGGAAGGAAAAACAAAAATTGGCTTGGTAAACAAAAAAATATTATCTAAAAGACTGGGCAGAAGATGCTCAAAGTCCCAGGAAAAGAATGATGACAGAAAAAAGGTCTGTCCTTCCTTCCTTTCTTTCAAATATCCTATCCCATTCAGAGAAGACGTCTAGGGATCCAAGTAGAAGAGGAAAGGAAGCTCAGGAAAGGAAACGAGCTGTGAAGAAACTCCTGGGATGAAGCCAAAGCCTCTCCGACTCCCCAGGACAGCTGACAGGCGGAAGGTTGGCTCGTCTTCATATGGGTTCAACAGGATGGCAGTAAGGACCTACGAGGACACGGAGAAGGTCATTAAGGGATCCTGACATATTGGTTTTTGTTACATTATATATTACATTAAGTTACTTTGCCAGGGTATTTTATTTAAGCAATCATACACGAGAGGCCGTTCTTTAACGTCATTATTGGTACGACAGTACTGCGGCAGGACCGAGGCGCTTGCGCCGAGGTCCGTACGCCTGTACTGGAGTACCAATAATGACGTTAAAGAACGGCCTCAAGTGTATGATTGCGATTCTATAACACAAACTATCATTGTAATCAACAATATCGTAAAATAATTTCATAATGTGGGCTAATTTGCTCCCAAACCTTCACTTTCTGCTTGAGTTAATCTCCGTCAGAAAGTAGTTCCTATAAAGTAGTTCCCTTGGTAACGAGAGCCGATCAATCGAACACTCCCCGCTTACAGTTATTGATATAATTATAGTAAATCATATATTATTAACCAATTTATTGAAAACAATTTATTGACAACAATTCTTGAATTAGGCTATTTATTTATTTATTTACATATTTAACATTTTGGCTTCAGAAAGAAGGTGGACGTTCATGCTGCCATTAAACGTGCAATTTTTTAAACAACTCATGAACTCCATGCCAGACTTTTTTGCAGTTGGTGCTGTGGTGTTCACGGAAGAGCTTTCCTCCAGTGGCCGTTTGGCGTGTCCCGGACCGGCAAAAAGCGCGTTGCTCCACATTTTTCTGTTGTCCAGATGATAACTAAAATCTGACATTTTTAGCTAACGATTTTCCAACGAGAGACAATGTAACAATGTAACGGCTGTGTGTCGCTATGGAAACCACTACTTCTCCGCTGCTTTCTTGTTCCAGTTTGCAGTTAGCTTTTGAATTGTGGTACTTTTCCAGTTGGTCTATCTGCTCTTCACGTAGCTCTGCATGTTGTCGTTTAGGTGCTTTTTTTTCTAGGCACTCCTCAATCCAGTCCTCCACAGTAAGACCCCCCCGGAGGTTGAAGTTAATCTTAAATGTTTCCATATTATGTTTGGAAGTTTGTTTCGTAACGTAAAAAGGAGGGTTTCTGCCCCGTTACTTCTCCGCTGCTTTCTTGTTCCAGTTCGAAAAGCTTGCTTTTCTGGCCAACGGTATACCGTTTTTCTCAGACGCGGAGGGATACTGACTTGTTGTGAAAAGGCACGTTCTATTTGACCGTTCTTTGATCGTGGAATCAAACACGCCTATTGACCAATCAGAGAGCTTGCTCACACCTATGTGTTATAGAATATACATTTATGAACTTGAGTATCAGAACACTTAATTTATCCTGGGGGAAATTGCATTTCAATGACAATTGCTACATTTGACTACATATAAACTAACTTAATATAGACGAAAAAAGCTAATAATGACATTTGAGATGACGATTCATTAAATAATTTAATAACATTATATAGCTGACAAAATTAACATCAGAGTACCTTGTTTATACTGGGGACATTTGATTTCAAAGTCAGTTGCTCTATTTTAGAATATAAAATATTAAGAATTAAAAAATAAAAACAAAAAAAGATTAAGTAGGAGTAATATGCAAAATGCATTAAAAGTAAAACGTGAGCGCCCCCTAGTGGTCCGTGAGTATATTGGTAACATTTCACATTTGAAATAAATACATTTAAGTTTTCCGCACTCTCGCGGGAATATCTCCGCAATGGAGCTAGCTTAACTTTCACTTTTGATTGCATGATATAGCCCAGCAACACCTTCATCACACATGTTGCCACTTGTTTGTACCATTGTCAGGTGATTTGTAATCTGTTCTAGAAAAATGATGTGGTTTTTTTTTTAGATTTCAAGAAGCGTATAAAACAAACAATGGATGTCTTTTATGAACATTTATCCATGCTGGAAGTAGATTTAGATGTTTTAGGAGTTAGATAGAGGTTATTATCTAATATATGCATCCGATGAAACATTGCATGAAGTCTGTTGATGATTAGAGGCTGTTGTTGGGGCTGCAACAACGTTTTTTTATTTTTGTTTTGTAGGCAGACCACGCTGGCCTGGTCACCAAGGTTCATGTTTTAATAGCATTTTTACAAAAAAAAGCACGTGAACAAATGGCTTAGACCTCAGAGAGTTGAACTTGGGCCTGCAACCATAGTTTTACTGTATTTTGTTTTGAAAATCCACAGCGGAGGTTTGTGTCGTACTACATGCAGTGTATTTTGCATACATCTCAGTAGCCAACGATCTGTGAGTCTGTTGGTTCGGACATAAACTCCCTAATAAATGTAGTCTACATTTCATAAGAAGTGTAAAACCTGAGCATTTTAAATCGCATTTGAACTAAATGCTTATATAATCTGTTGTATTTGTATTGTTGATTTAATGTGTGAACGAGGCGATATAGAGAAGGCTAAACTGTCATTATTAGGCTGTAATTTGTTATATAATGTTGGAGTGGTAAGCAGGTCTATTGTTTTTGGATATTTGGAGAGTTAGGTGGTCCGCGAGTGTTTTTTTATTGGTGAAGTGGTCCTTGGTATGAAAAAGTTTGAGAAACACTGATATAAAGTATGGATATTACAATGTATACAGCGGTGTATTAGTATTAACATGGTTCTTTGTCCCCTACTCTCTCCAGTCCATGGACTGCTACATAAGGACACCACACCATCCTTTATAATACAAACCTGTGCACGTCAATGGCAGTGTTCGCACCTAGCTGGCTCTCCTGTTCACAATAAGCAGCAGGTGCTGGGCTTGGCAGAACTCCCCTCCGAGCCTCGCAAACGCCATACATGTGCAGCCTGAGGGGGGCAGAGTAATAATGACTGGCAGGTGTGATGTATAGGCTACAGTCGTGTTAACAGATGGGACTGTGTAAAACACTCACTGTGATGAGAGCTGAGGAGATGGTTCATGGAGCGGACACAGGAAGATGTGACGGCTCCGTGATGTAAACACACCATTGATGATGATGCTGCTTTTCGGGTCCTGGCTAACAACGGCCCGCTAGCTTTCTGCTAACCTGTAAAGACAAACATGACAATATTGCTCACTTTACTTTGCGAACGTTATCATTGCGTGTTAATGAGAACAATTTGTCACATCATGAACCTCCCTTTTAGAAAACATATGAATAGCTCATGTCTTGCTAGCTTAGAACAACTTAGTAAACTACTAGCTAAACAGTAGATGCTCGCCCATGCTATCTTAATACAGGAAACATACGGTCAATTATATTTTGCACCGAGGAGCTGGCGACAGTTATGTTTATACTGATTTAAGTGTGTTTGTTATGTTGTGTTTATATGAGATTTACAGAATGTCAGTGTGGCTGTGAGTTGAGTGAGAGAGTATAGTTCTGATTGGATGGAGGGAGGTTCCTGGAGTGAGACTGGGAATGCTACGAGAGAGCTAGTGTTTGTATGAAAGTAACAACTAACGTTCTTGTTTTGGCATGGTTACGGCCCACAGCAACCTGTGTTCTGTGACAAATACATTGGTGGAACAAATATATCTAAAGTCTAATTGAGTTTCTTTAGCGAGATGCTACAATACAATAAATATTCTTAACTGGGCAAATTGTTAGCTTAACATATAGCCAGGTAACCTTACCACCAACTAATACCGTAATGCTCATGTTCAGACACGAATTATAAATGTTAAGGTTAGCTAGGGCAATATGCTAACCTTTAATGACAGCTAGCTAGCATAACGTCACTGATGGCTGTTTTTCAAATATTGCACACAACATTACTGTATACAACGTTACCATAAGGGATATAAAATACTCAGACAAACCTAACGTTAGACTTATTAGCTACGCCATCTGTCATCCGCCGCCGGTCAGGTAAAACCAGGTCAACAACCATGTTCCCAGATTAAACAAAAAGCTAACACTTCCAGGCTAAAGCGTTCACCGGTTTACAATAACAGTCAAATGACAGCGGATACATCGGTGTCGTTAATACAGCTACTGTTAGTTACACAACAGCTACATCGACATCAAACACATACGACTGGCAGAGCTAGCTACTTACCAAACGCAGTAGTTTAACGAAAAATCCAGACGTTTCTAATGACAGAGCAGAGTCTGCAAAGAAGACATGTTGAACAGAAATGTCGAGTTAGCAACAATGAACAACACCACTTCCGGCCGCAAACTTTCAATAATAAAACGCTTTTTAAATGTATACAATAATCTGATTGATGACGGTTTTAATTTGTAACTCCACTTCCGGTATTGATTAATCTGCCTATTGCTAGTTTGACAAAATTGAGAACAATCACTGTTGTGCTTTTTTTATTAAATGGTCTGCTGATGTCTATCTTCAATTTAATAACCTGGAATTGTCCAAATTTGTTTTTGTTTTTTAATACGATTAAAATATATAGTTTATATAGGATAGGTATCTATGCTGGTTAAGTGCGCCTTGAAATCTGAATAAATCACCAACAGTGTCACCCACCCAGGGGCGTTTCCTGGACCTGGAAACATTTGGGGCTTAGCCCACAGTTCATTAAGGTACATTAAGGTACCGGGCTACAGCAGTGGCGTTTTCTCCCGGAGGCCAAGGGAAGCCAGGCTTCCCCTGTTTTTTTCGGATTGTAGTTATAATTTAAATAAATAAATAAAAACACTTTGTTTTGTTTCGATAATTCTCCTTTGTTGACACACAACAAAGGAGAATTATCGAAACAAACAAAGTCCATCCATCCATCCATCTTCTCCCGCTTATCCGTGGCCGGGTCGCGGGGGTAGCAGTTCCAGCAGAGAGCCCCAAACTTTCTTTTCCCTGGCGACATCAACCAGCTCTGACTGGGGGATCCCAAGGCGCTCCCAGGCCAGCGAAGAGATATAATCCCTCCACCTGGTCCTAGGTCTACCCCTTGGTCTCTTCCCAGCTGGACGTGCCTGGAACACCTCCCTAGGGAGGCGCCCAGGTGGCATCCTAACTAGGTGCCCGAACCACCTCAACTGGCTCCTTTCGACGCGAAGGAGGAGCGGCTCAACTCCGAGTCCCTCCCTGATGACCGAACTTCTCATCTTATCCCTAAGGGAGACACCAGCCACCCTGCGGAGAAAACCCATCTCGGCCGCTTGTATCCGCGATCTCGTTCTTTCGGTCATGACCCATCCTTCATGACCATAGGTGAGGGTAGGAACGAAAATGGCCCGGTAGACTGAGAGCTTTGCCTTCTGGCTCAGCTCCCTTTTCGTCACAATGGTGCGGTAAAGCGACTGCAGTACCGCTCCCGCTGCTCCGATGCTCCGGCCCATCTCACGCTCCATTGTTCCCTCACTCGAGAACAAGACCCCGAGATACTTGAACTCCTTCACTTGGGGTAAGGACTCATTCCCTACTTGAAGTGGACAGTCCATCGGTTTCCTGCTGAGAACCATGGCCTCAGATTTGGAGGTGCTGATCCTCATCCCAGCCGCTTCACACTCGGTTGCGAACCGATCCAGTGAGTGCTGAAGGTCGCAGACCGATGAAGCCATTAGAACCACACCATCTGCAAAAAGCAGTGGTGCAATCCTTAGTCCACCGAACTGCAGACCCCCTCCCCCATGACTACGCCTCGAAATCCGATCCATGTATATTACAAACAGGATTGGTGACAAAGCGCAGCCCTGGCGGAGGCCAACCCTCACCGGAAATGAGTCCGACTTACTGCCGAGGACCCGGACACAGCTCTCGCTTTGGGAGTACAGAGATTGGATGGCCCTGAGTAGAGACCCCCTCACCCCATACTCCCGCAGCACCTCCCACAGTAACTCCCTGGGAACTCGGTCATACGCCTTCTCCAAGTCTACAAAACACATGTAGACCGGATAAGCGTACTCCCAGGCCCCCTCCAGGATCCTTGCGAGAGTAAAAAGCTGATCCGTCGTTCCACGACCAGGACGGAATCCGCATTGTTCCTCCTCAATCTGAGGTTCGACAATCGGCCTGACCCTCCTTTCGAGTACCTTAGAATAAACTTTCCCGGGGAGGCTGAGTAGTGTGATGCCTCTGTAATTGGCACACACCCTCTGATCCCCCTTTTTAAAAAGGGGAACCACCACCCCGGTCTGCCACTCCTTCGGTACCGTTTCCGACTTCCACGCAACGTTGATGAGACGTGTCAACCATGACAGTCCCTCAACACCCAGAGCCTTCAGCATTTCCGGGCGGATCTCATCCACCCCCGGGGCTTTGCTACTGTGGAGTTGTTTGACGACCTCAGTGACCTCCCCCCGGGAGATTGGTGTTGATCCCCCGTCATACTCCAGCTCTGCCTCTAACATAGAGGGCGGAGTTGTCGGGTTCAGGAGTTCCTCAAAGTGTTCCTTCCAACGCCCTAACACTCCATCAGTTGAGGTCAACAACGTCCCATCCTTACTGTACACAGCTTGGATGGTTCCCTGCTTCCCCCTCCTGAGGTGTCGGACAGTTTTCCAGAACAACTTTGGTGCCGCCCGAAAGTCCTTCTCCATGTCTTCTCCGAACTTCTCCCACACCCGCTGCTTTGCCTCGGCAAAACAAAGTGTTTTTATTTATTTATTGCTGCCGGCCCGTCTCTCCCCCATTCTCATTGAGTATTTTACAAAGAGTGAAACAAACTGTTGCGAGAGGAGGCCAGCCGAATCTGGCTTCCCTTGGTGAAAAAAAATGGAGGGATTGACCAATCAGATGAGGCTCACGTGATGCCCCTGCCAACCTGTGATTGGTCAGGACCATGCCAAGGGAAGCCAGAGGCGGCTGGCTTCCCTTGCCTCACAATCCAATCAAATCGCATCAATTTAGTGTTGCAGTGACGCATCCTAAAATCCGGAAGTAAGCTGCTCTCGGTTTCCCTCGACAAAAAAGCAATGGGATTTCTCCATAGGATTTAGGAAAATAGCTTGAAATAAGGTCAGTGGAAAACGAACCTGTTAGATAAATGCACGTTTTGTTCAGTCGGATAATATTCACATGTCTACCCTACTTTTATAATTTTCGAATCATAAATCTAATCGATAGAAGATAGATAGCGTCACTGCATCACTCTCACCGCCGTTAGAAAGTAGCAAGCAACTGAAGCAAGTGCAATTATGGAGGGTGGAGATTTGGAGTGTTTAATCAAAAATAATTGTACTAAACTTCCGCTACAGCAGCAACAACAAATACAATCTGATGACAGGCCAATGCCCAAACTGGAGCTGTGTACAGCGAGGAAAAAAGGAGCGAATCGGACGTAAAACGTTAAAGGTCTCCTGATTTAGTTTGTGAATGAATGCTTATTAGAGTTTCGGCTGGAGAGTGCGTGCGGACCTGTCGGTTAGATAACAGGCGTGTGTAAGTCCTGCATCTGTATGATACAAATGTGTGTAAAATGATACCGAGTGCTGTAATCACTCATCTGGTTACGTTATTACATTGACCACCACACCCCCGACCCAAAAGAAAGGACATATTATTGGCTTCCCCTAATTTTTTTCCCACGCCACGCTACTGGGCTACAGTGGAATTTTCTACTGCAATACTCCCCACACGCACATACACCTGCAACTGTTACAATGAATGCTCGATAATCAGCTCACCGCATATAGGTGTAAGCAGGGGTAAAGTGCTATTTTTTGTGGGGGGTGGACCTAACCTCCTCTAGGGGGGTCCTCACCTACTATAGGGGGGTCCTCACCTCCTCTAGGGAGGTCCTCACCTACTATAGGGGGGTCCTCACCTCCTCTAGGGGGGTCCGGGGGCATACTATTTAAAAAAAGATTTTTGTTTTAAACATTGAAGTCAAAAGCATCAATCTGGTGCACTTTAAGAGCAGAATTAAGATATATGGATAGATCTTTCAACACCCATATGAAACAGAACTGTAAACAGATTTTTATTTTTCTTTATGGATATTTTACAAATCACTCCCCTGTGACTGTGTAATGTAAGGTAGCTTCTAGCTTCATGTTTGTTTGTAGCCTTTATTTAACCAGGTGAAAGCCCCTTGAGATCAAAAGATCTCTTTTTCAAGGGTGACCTGCAGGACATTAGTTACACATGTAATGTAAATGATGCAGGGGAACCAAAGTGCTCAGTTTTAAACATGTTTGCAGACTGTTCCAATTTAGTGGAGCTGCACAACTAAAAGCTTTCTTCCCTAAGACAGTCCTAGCACTTGGCACATTTAATAAAACAACATCATGAGATCTCAGGCAATATGTACTTTCAATTCGTCGAGAGATCAGAGAGCAGATATAAAAAGGTAGTTTACCCAACATGGCTTTATAGATGAACATGTACCAATGACTGAGCCTCCGTACAGTTAGTGAAGGCAGACCTGCCTTCGCATACAGGGTACAGTGATGAGTAAGTGCTTTACAGTTAGTAACAAATCTCAGGGCACTGTGATAGGCGGCATCTAACTTTTCCAGGCAATGGGCAGGTGCATTCATATAGATCAAATCACCATAGTCCAGCACAGGTAAAAAGGTCACAGTGACTAGCCTTTTCCTGGCTTCAAAAGAGAAACAGGACTTGTTTCTGAAAAAGAAACCTAGTCTAACCCTCAGCTTTTTATGCAGGTTATTGACATGAAGTTTAAAAGTAAGACAATCATCAAGCCAGATACCTAGGTATTTATAACTGGTAACCACTTCAAGTACTTGTCCTTGCATAGTAACAATATCCAAAACAGGCTCTGGTGTCTTTTTAGCTTTTGAAAATAGCATTATCTTGGTTTTATCAACATTTAAAATAAGCTTAAGTTCAGCAAGCTGAGTCTGAATAATGTTAAAAACAGCCTGTAATTTAACACCAGCCTCCTTAATGGAGGGACCTGCACAATACATCACGGTATCATCAGCATAAAAATGTAAAGTAGCTTCATCCACATTTTCACCTAAACTGTTGATATATATGGAGAATAAAAGTGGACCTAAAACAGAACCTTGAGGAACACCATTAGCAATGTTTAACCACTCAGAAGACAGCCCATCAAAGTGAACACATTGGGACCTTTCAGAGAGGTAGTTCACAAACCAACCCACTGCATGGTTGGATATGCCGATACTAAGTAGCCTCTGCTTTAAGATGCGATGATCGACGCTATCAAACGCTTTGGAAAGGTCAATAAATAGAGCTGCACAACTCTGCTTATTGTCTAAAATACTCGTAATGTC